CCATGGAATTAAGAACATGGAGACAAAGAAACTGTAGGAAAATAAATATTAGTTTTTAAGATGCTTTTTTTTTCATCAATAAAATTCAGTGAATTTTGACTTGCCTAAACAGATATAACTCTGCCTACCAATCTGTCTCTATATATCTCTTTCTTACCCCCTCCCCCATTAATATGTCATTCGCAGACATTATTGTTTCGCTGTATCATAGGTCCTCAGTACGACTAGACATCCGAATGTCTCAAGCCCGGATCGAAACCCAACCGATTTGGTGTCAGTCAGAGTTTCTACAGCTGAGTTATATGATAATAAGATGACGGAAGCGTTAATAATCCATTTCGATTATAATTTATTTCGTGAACACCGAGGTGTTCAACTCTTCAGACCGAAATCTCCTCTGTAAATAGAAAAAATACATCGGACGGTCACATGGAAAGATTAACAGTCAAACAACGTGTTAAAGTTATCGAAGCCTATTACGAAAATGGACGTTCAAAGAGAATTTGAATGAGAAGTTCCCAGGTCGCATAATCTCTTCAAACAGCGAAGTCAATTGGCCACCACGATCGTGCGACATGACGCCTTTAGATTTCTTACTTTAGGGTCATCTCAAAAGAAAGGTCTATGCCAACAAGCCAACAACAATTCAACAACTGAAGGATGAGATAATAAGGCATATTGGTGAGATCGAGGAGCAACTATGCAGAGACGTCATCGAAAATTTTGACCATCGGGCGGACATTTGGGCGATATAATTGCTATGACTTAAATAACATGATCCAATAGAGAAATTAATAAATTTTCACCAATAACACTGATTTATTTACTGCTGACTTTTATCCGTCTTAATGAAATACCATATATATATATATATATATATATATATATATATATATATATATATATATATAATATTTATATATTATATAGATATATATATTATATATATATAATGTTTCTATATATATATATATATATATATATATATATATATATTTATATTAAATTATTTGCTCTGGATTTACACTGAGCTCTCTGGATTTTATCCTCCTTAGGTTTACCTATACGGATTACCTAGTTTTTTTCATAAAGTACATATATATATATATATATATATATATATATATATATATATATATATATATATATATGTGTGTGTGTGTGTGTGTGTGTGTGTGTGTGTGTGTGTGTAAATAGTGTGGGCATAAACATTAAAATTGTAGATTTCTAGTAATTGACACTTTAGCATTGGATGCTTCGCATTGCGTTTTCATGCGATGAAACTTTGGCCCAAAGGGATTCATTTCTATGCCTCATTATTCCGATATTTATCACTTTCCTGAGGGAAATATGATCAAATTTCAAATAGAAACTACTTGTCCATTTAAAATTCTACAATTCTACATTTACTAGAAAATATATTATATGAAGAGAATGTTGTGAAGACCAGAATATAAGGTAATGAAAAAGTGAATATGACAGACGAGAGAAACTTGACAGTCAAATTGTTTTTCAGTTCTTGGAACAGTTTTACCTCTCATCATACTGGCATATATATATATATATATATATATATATATATATATATATATATATATATATATATAGCAGGATAAAGCTTGATATATATATATTTTAAAATTTGTGCAAATTCTCTTTTAGGCATGTCTGATTGAATAAATTACAGACATTATGTCTGCTAACTTTTAACAAAATCCGTTCATACTCACGAATAACATTCCATGTCTTGATGTTAAAGGATGAGATATGTGTACTATTTATATGTTTAATTTTATTTTATTTTCATTTTCCAAGTACTTTTGATCTTCTTCCAAGATCATCTTCAGGGGTGCAAGTAGTACAAAACTATGTTGTTCATTAGTTCAAGTATTTATACAAAGTTGTGTGCTATCTATTATCGTATTTTTTTTCATTATTCTTTTAAATGCAAAAAAGGGTGGCAATGTGCAGAGCTTTCATTACAACGTGAAAAAAAAACATTATCCATTATGGATTTCTTTTCATGTTATAATGTCATGGTTATGCTCGCATTAAATTGTGAAAAAAATGTTCCTTTACAGGCATTTCAGAACATTGCTGCAGTATTCAGAATTGATTCTGTTCAGTTCTAATTCGGCTTTAATTTTTTAATATGAATTGCTTCTAGTATCTGTAGTCTGAATTTGTTGTTTTCTTGGTGTAGGATAGTTGTGTTGACGATTAGTAATTTTTTTATATTGTGAATGTAGACAGAAATGTTGTTTTAGATGTCTCGGAATACATAAGTATGAATGTAAACAAAATAACGGGATATTAGCAAATGTATATGCGTGCGGATTAGCACATAATATAAGCAAATATATATATATATATATATATATATATATATATATATATATATATATTCTCGTCTCGTATACACTAGTTAGTCGTTGCTTTGAAATTTTTAATGCAACAAAAACAGACATTATTGTTTCGTGTATTGTTTGATATATTGAAAAGTAATTGTCATCTTTGATAATGGCTTATGTAAGCCGAATGCTTAGATTGGATTTAAACATGTATCAATATGGTGATTTCCTTTCGTCCTTCAATGATTATGTTATTAAGCTTATCAGACAATATGAAAGGAACTTACTTAAAAGAAATAGCCAAAATGTGTCTATATTATTTAATGAAATATCTACTGTTTCCTACAGTTTCTTTGTCTCCATGTTCTTAATACCATGGTAAATATTTCAGAGTAATCAGTGAAGCAGCATATAAATATGTGTGTGTGTGCGTGTGTGTGAATCGCGACCTACTGTCCTCCTGATTACTCTTTCCTCTTCCCGTTCATTATTAATGTTTCTGTTCGTAATTTTTACACAGCCCTTATGTCTTCGAGATGTTACTATCTTGTCAATATACATATACATACATACATACATACATATATATATATATATATATATATATATATATATATATATATATATATATAAGTGTATGTGCGTATAAGATATTAATTGCGATAAAATTAATAGATCTTTTAGCCAACATTACTTCTTAGTGTTCCAAACCGTTATATTATAGATGACCCAATTTGTGTAGAAACATTCTTTTTTTATTCTTTTTTAAATTTTTTTTTTATTATTTTCTTTTTTCCTTTTTTTTTTTTAAATCGGTGTTAATTTTGTCTGCGTATTCGAGAGACTTATCCAATGAAATGTTCTCTCCGGTCGAGTGGTCTAAAGCGCGTTGGAGTGACGGTGCTTTCTCCTGCAAAAGTGGGGTGCATTTTCTTTCTGAAGTCTGTAGAATGCGCAGGCCATTAGACGCAATTCACATTGTTCAAAAAACAGTCAAAATAAACGTAAAACCATTGCGTACACTGAGGGAAGACAGTCCGTTTCATTTTTCAACGCAGTGTTCAGTGACCACATATATTTACATAGCTCTCTCTCTGTCTGTCTGTCTGTCTGTCTGTCACACACACACACACAAACATACACACACATATGCCATTTTTACTTATGGTCAATTTCATCATGATTCTTCTGTTAAACTTCGAATGTAACTATACATTATTATTACCCAGAGTCTAATAGTGTTATAAACATCTCGAAGAATTCCACTATGATATCTTTAATCAGAACCGTTCAAAGCTTAATATAACAAATAGAGAATTTTGCATTTACACGAGTTAGACAATTTTGCTGTTACACTCGCTATATATAAGACGAAGAACAAATACGAAAAGTATATCCAATCTAACATTTTTCACTTTTATTAAAGCTTCGTCAGACAGAACTTGAGCATTTTTAATTTTGAGAACTCTTACAAAACAGTCACACATACACAATTACGAATACACATTACCATCCGATGCCCACTTAGACATACAATAATCTTTAAAAATTTGCATACATAAAGAATTATCTACGCTTGGAATGCACGTGATGTGTGACTGATCAATGATATTTGACCAAAATGAAATTGAAAATACTAAAGTTCTGTCTTTTTGCCTTTTTTTTCTGAATCTCTAACGATAATAAAAATGAAAGCATGTGAGATTGATATACGTTTCCTATTTGTTATCTATTTTATCATCCTGTCGATTTCCAACGATTATTTGTTTTTATCTCATATATATATATATATATATATATATATATATATATAGATAGATAGATAGATAGATGAAAGTCAATAGTGATTCATTATTAAACTCCATTGCCTGAAATAACCTTACCGGTGGAATCAAGAGTAGCATGAATGGTGAGTATTCCTTGACTTTGATATTTCTTAGCTCTACGCTTTAGGATTTTCTTCTTTTTTTTTACATTGCGTTGTGAGCACTCTTTTATATAACCGTTTTCTAGACAAATATAAATTTGACCGGACTTTCTTTTGAATATATATATATATATATATATATATAGTAATTATTTGTGCAACATTTATTGGAAAGTGGGCAATTTCAGTGATAGAGCTAACATATTTAGTTGTATGGATATGAGTTTGTGACTGAAGTGTTTTACGCTTATATATATATATATATATATATATATATATATATATATATGTATACATCTATGTATGCATGTAGCTCTGTGTGTGTGTGTGTGTGCCCATCTTTCTCTGCTTCAATGTATCTGCCAGTTGCTTCTACTCTGTCCCTTTCCTCTCTCTCTCTCTTTCTGTTTCAAACTTTCTACCAACTTCTTCCACTCTCTCCCTACATTTCTTTCTCTCTCTGTTTCAAAATGTCTACCAGTTTCTACACTCTCTCTCCTTTTTTCTTTTTTCTCTCGCTTCCTCCCTCTCTCTTTCTGTCTCTTTTTCTCTGTTTCAAAGTATCTATCAATTTCTTACACTCCCTCTCGCCCACCCTCTCTCTCAAACTTTTTTCTATTTCTCTGTTTTAATGTCTCTACCATTTGTTCCACACACACACACACACACACACACACACACACACACACACACACACACACTCTCTCTCTCTGTTTCAATGTATGTGTCCCTCTCTCTCTTTCTCAGTTTCAAAATATCTACCAATTTCTTCCAGATCTGAAGCTCTGGAACCTGATCTCATTTTATTGCACCTACAAAATTTTTCTTTCTCACTTTCTCTCACTCCACTTCCTCTCTCTCTCTCTCTCTTTCTCTTGAAAGTATCTCCCTACTTCTTCCACTCTCCCTCTCTCGTTTTCCCTGTTTCAAAGTATCTACCAGTTTCTTCCCCACCTTCTCCCTCCCTCCTTTCTCACTCTTCCTCCTTCTGACTCTTTCTCTGTTTCAAAATATCTACCAATTTCTTTCACTCTCCCTCCCTCCCTCCCTCTGTCTGTCTCTTTTTCTGTGTTTCAAAGTACCTATCATTTTCTTCCATGCCCTCTCCCTCTCTCACACACTATCTCTATTTCCCTTTTTCATTGTATCTACCATTTTTTCCATACATTCTCTTTCTCTGTTTCACTGTATCTACCAGCTTCTTCCACACACTCTCGTACTGTCTCTCTTTCTCTCTCTCTCTCTCTCTCTCTCTCTCACACACACACACACATGCACATACACTCTCTGTTTCAAAATATCTACCAATTTTTATCCAGTTCTGAAGCTCTTGGTTCTGATCTCATTTCATTGCGCTTAAAAAAATTCTCCTTTCTCTCCCTCCCCTTCCTCTCTCTCTCTCTTTCTCCTCTTCAAAGTATCTTCCAATACTCTCCCTCTCTCTTTGTCTCTATTTCAAAGTATCTACCAATTTGTTCCCTTCTCTCTCCTCCCTCCTCTCACACCTTCCCTCTTTCTCTTTCTCTGTTTCAAAGTATCTACCAATTTCTTTCATTCCCTCAGCCTCCCTCCCTCTCTTCCTCCATCTCTCCCTCTCTCTCTCTCTCTCACTCTCTCTATTTCTCATTTTCAAAGCATCTACCAATTTCTTTCACTCTCTCAGCCTCCCTCCTTCTCTCTATTTCTTTTTCTCTTTCAAAGTATCTATCAATTTCTTCCACTCCCTCTCTCCCTCCCTCTCTTTCTCCCTCCCTCTCTCTCACACTCTCTATTTCTCATTTTCAAAGTATCTACCAATTTCTTTCACTCTCTCAGCCTCCCTCCCTCTCTCTATTTCTTTTTCTCTTTTTTCTCTTGCCTATTTCTCTGTTTCAATGTATCTACCAGCTTCTTTACATACTCACGCGCTCTCTTACACTTTCTCTCTTTCTCTTTGTCTCCCCCCTCTCTCTCTCTGTTTCAAAATATCTACCAAATTCTTCCAGATATGAAGCTCTGGGATGGGACCTGACCACATTTCATTGCCCTTACAAAATTCTCCTTTTTCTCCTTCTCTCATTCTCCTTTCTTTCTCTCTCTTTCTCACTCTCTCTCCTCTTCAACGTATCTTCCAACTTCTTCCACTCTATCCCTCTCCCTTTTTCTCTTTTTCAAATATCTACCAATTTCTTCTCCTTCTCTCTCCCTCCCTCCTTTCTCTTTGTCTTTCTCTCTCACTAATACCTCAGAGATCCTGTTGTGATATTCAATTCTGTTATCTATCCTCATACAGTGTAACCCGGATATAAGAGACCCGGATATAAGAGAAACCCGGATATAAGAGAGATTTTTATCTGGTCCCAAATTAGAGCCTGTGTTAATGTATATAAAATAGACCAAACCCGGATATAAGAGAAACCCGGATATAAGAGACTTCTTCTCCGGTCCCGACAACTCCCTTATATCCGGGTTACTCTGTATCTCGCTTTTTCCTTGTTCGCTTCAGCTATCACTTTTAGATTTCTTACATATTTTTTTACTCTATCTTCGTCCGATTCTCCTCTCTCTCTCTCTCTCTCTCTCTCTCTGTTATTTAACGTCTCTTCTTCATTGTGCGACTCCCTCTCTTTGATCGTTGTAGTCTGTCTCTTTCTTTCACTTTATCCTCTCTTTGATTTATCTTCTTTTCCCTCTCCCCTTGCTCTTATCTGTTTCTCCTCTCTTATTCTGTTTTCTTTCTTTTCCTCCTATATTTTTTGACCCCTCCGTTTATTACTTCTAAACACACCATTGAAAGAAGCTCAGCCATTCAATCGATACTCGGTAGAATTGACAATGCGAACTGAATATTAAATCCCAGTCGTTCATCGTCATTCTCCTTTCTACCCTCTTACTCTCCCTCTCCATTCTTTCTCACGCGATTCAGCTCTTTACTCTCCCTTTCAATGTTGCAATATTTGACCAAATCACACTCTAACATCAGGCGTCACTTAGCCATGGCTTTTTATCTGTGCCGAATATTGATTAAGATATTTTTCTCTCTCTTTCTCTCTCTTTTTCTATCATTCTTGTCTTAAAAGCGTCTCCGATGCAAATATACTTCAAAGGACTAAGCGCAACGCAGCTAAAAAGAGCACATATGAAAGGAATGGTTTTTCAAATGAAACATTAATAATAATAATAATAATAATAATAATAATAGTAAGGTAATGATATTAATAATAATAATAATAATAATAATAATAATAATAACAACCCCTGAACAAGTAGAAGATATGAAATGCCACTAATAATATATGAAAGTAAGTACCGAATATTTTAATTGCTATTAATAAGGACAGAAGCAGATTAGGAATATTACTATTATAGCGACTTCTAAAATTAAAAAAACACTGAGAAATCTGTTGTTACTACTACTACTACTACTAGTTACAACACTAACAAGATAAACCAACTGAGAATTTTAAGAATAATACTGCTACTAATACTATGCTTATTAATAATAATAACAGAAAAAAAGTTTAGGAATATAGTTGCTTCTACTGCTGTTAATACTATTTAGATAAAATAATTATTTATATTGTCCTACTGGATGAAAACGATGGTTCGTGAATTTGGTGACATAGTAATTGTGAGTTCAGTCCCTGAGCCGTGCAGTGCGTATTTGTACACAGTGGAAACGGGGCGAGCAATCACTGAATCAAGCTCTATGTGCTAATCCTGCAGAAATCGGCATTATTAAGAACTGCCAATATCCTGCAGAATGTTCTCACTGACTCAGATCAAAGCGAATTGATATAGAATGGCGATAAAGTTAGTTCTTAATTATAATGAAATACTGTCCGAAGCAATAATAATAATAATAATGATAAGTGGAAATCTCAAAAATGTGGCACATGAGGACATCAGTAATTCCAGTAGTAGTTAGCTTCCTCGGATTGATTGGACAAGGATCCGATAGGCACATTGAAGTGATTTCTGGTAGCCCATGCCTTAAAGAAACAGAAAAATACTGTGCTCACAAGTACAGCTCACACATTACGAAGACCTTTATCTATGAAAAATTGCTCAGTGGAGAATGCCATGATGCCATTTCTTACCTTAGGTCTCTAGTCGGGACTCTGAAAGAAATGAGTATACACCAGAAATCAAAGGAAATAAAATAAAAATACCATGTATCTTACCAAGCCATTATTAGACTGGATGTCATGGTAGATATAGGTGTGCCCCAAACTAACTTTTTTGAATTGCTGTTCTCACACCCAATAATAATATTAAATAATTTCTTTTTGACATGGCCGTTTCTATAGATTGTAATGTATCTTTGAAGATCTTCAAAAAACTATCAAAATACAAGGAACTTGAAATGGGAATCTCAAAATTGTGGCACATGAGGACATCGATAATTCTAGTTGTAGTTAGAGGCCTCGGATTGATCGGAAAATACTCATTGAATGGTTTTCGGGTTGCCCATGCCTTAAAGAAATACAAACAATTTTGCTCACAAGTACAGCTCACACATTACGAAGAGCTTTATCTATGTAAAATATGTGTGGTCGTAGGGATTTTTTTATGTGGTATGTACAACAAAAAATGATCAGTGAAAAACTTATGTTAGATATGGGACCCGGAAGGAAATGTGTATATAACAGAAATCAAAGGTACTAAGAATAATAGTTAATATGAAAATATGAAAAAAATCTTTTTTCTTTTATGTGCCGTGTTACTACCGGACTTAGTTGATCATGACACTTCACAACTTCCTATGTTTTATTCCTCCAAATAACGTTTGATTCTTCACCATCATCTGAAATTAGAATGAAAGCAGTGAAGGTACCTTCTCTGAATCCATAAAAATACAGGAGGTGGAATTTGTAAATGCTAAACACGTCACATACCTCAGCGTATGGATCAGCTATAACTTAAGTATAGTAGAAAAAGAAATTGAATATAGAATAGGCTGCTCCAGAGATAGTTTCACTCAACACCGTAACTTGCTACAGAACCAAAACATCAAACTGAAAACTCATTAATGTTCTTAAATAGACTCGTCAGATCTAAACTTTCATATGGATGGCATACCTGTCACCAACCTCGTTCAGAAATATTAAATTATCCACTGTATATAACCAGTTCCTAAAATCAATCGTGAAAAAAACCTTGAACATGTCAAGCCTGGGGGTCTTCCCAGGGTTCATCCTTCTTCGAACATTGTGATCGGGCACTACGAAATAACAAACAACGTACTGCACCAAATAACGGCAACCACATTACTTGCGGACTACCAACAGCCGCAACAACTAAAATGGATGGCGCAGGTGACTCGAAGAGAAAATAATGACATAGTCAAGATGTTAACATTCCACACTACTTCAAATAACAGCTTAGGAAGGGCGCCCCCATCAATATTGGAAAGAGCAATAAAAGCTATTGAACTTGAGAAAGCTTTTTTTCCTAAAAAAAAGTGTTTTAAGAGAAAGATTTTATCAATTTCAACCGAAAACAGTATTGGTTTCTCGGGCAATGAATACCAAATGTTTCCTTGTAGGAATATTACCAATTCTATTTACACAATCTTTGCAGTGTCCCTTTGCTAATTTTGTCTTTTCTATGCCCTGTGCGTAAAAAAATTCTCCAGACCCTTCTTCTTCAAATATTTCTACAAAATCCAATTCTCTTTTCAGGATTGAGACGTTTTAGTTTCTATTCCTTTAAAGTCCTCTTGTTGTTTTTTACACAGCATTCTCTTTTTTGTGATGTCAACGAACACTCATTGCCACTTTTGTAATTCCAACGAATACTCGTTGTAGTAGAGACTTTGAAATCGCAGATACAACTATAGTACGCCGTTAAACAATATTGTTGTCAGACGCCTTCGAATAGCACTCGTACTAATAGTACTTGCTCTATAATACTCGCTCGAAAAGTAATCAGTATAGTGATCCGAATAGAGAAATAGTATAGTGAATAGAGTAGAGAATAGCGGTCCGTATAGTAATACAGGATAGGATAGAAATATTGATCCGTATAGTCATAGAGGATAAACTAGAAATGCGATCAATTAGACGCTAAGCTACTTCCTACATATATGCATTTCCTCTATGGTGACGTGGTGTATTTAATTCAATAATGGAATCGCTTGTGTTTGCTCACTGGCGAACTATGTTCAAATTCAAGTGACGGCAACGGTACTTTGTTCCTATATAACATTCATCTTCCTCTTTTCGGGTTACATCTCTGTCGCTTCAAGTCTCCTCTTCATCTGTGAAGAAAATATCCAGTATTCATTGCCATACAAAAGGATAGATATCACATAGCAGTTCAGAAATCCTTTCTTTGTTTCTGACAAACTATTATTCTGCATTAATCCTTTTCTTACATGTTTATGCAACTACCTAGAGCAATGATTCCCACCGGTGAGGGGCATGGTAATATTTCGGTGGTGCATGCATACGATGTGCACCCTTCGGCTTACGTGACCTCAAATTTCATTTTGCATTAATACTTCATAATTAAAATGATCAAAGTATATTACAGAATATGCTTTCATTTAAATATTTTATATGTTTGCCTTTTAGTTTTCTATTATATGTTTTGATACAATATACATTTAACTGGGTTTTTTTTTTGTTTTTTTTTTTAATTTTTCTCTTTCATCCATTGTCTTTGGAGGCTTGTTTAGATACCAAGTTAATAGTGCGCCTTTAAAAAATATTGTTGTCAGACGCCTTCAAATAGCACTCGTACTAATAGTACTTGCTCTATAATACTCGCTCGAAAAGTAATCAGTATAGTGATCCGAATAGAGAAATAGTATAGTGAATAGAGTAGAGAATAGCGGTCCGTATAGTAATACAGGATAGGATAGAAATATTGATCCGTATAGTCATAGAGGATAAACTAGAAATGCGATCAATTAGACGCTAAGCTACTTCCTACATATATGCATTTCCTCTATGGTGACGTGGTGTACTTAATTCAATAATGGAATCGCCTGTGTTTGCTCACTGGCGAACTATGTTCAAATTCAAGTGACGGAAGCGACACTTTATTCCTATATAATATTCATCATCCTTTTCCTTCACGTGAATTGCAGTAAAATTTTGAATATGTAAGACTTAACTATGACAAGGGGCACTAGAATTTTAGAAATATTTAATTGGGGCATGGACTAAAATCGTTTGGAAATCACTGACCTAGACGTAAATTGGAAATGTAAAGTATTATTTTAAATATGTGTTTTAGACATATAATTTAGCATTATTTACATTATTGGATCTAACCAACGCCTTTATCCTGGAGGACACATGGCACAGTGGATAAAGGCGTTTGTTAGATCCAGTGACAGGACCCAAAGGGTGTGAGTTCAATACCCGGTTAATGCAGTGGAGAACTTTCAGAAGGAAATTAACAGGAGATAACTGATAACTGACATCCATTAAACTTGGCACGTGGAACTAGAACAGTCTACCCCGGTGATCGAAATAAAGGGTTCAGTTCGACATTACAACCACCTGAAGAAGGTCGGAGCGTACAACGGCCGAAACATTGTGATAAATATGGTGACAAAGATGAGGACAATAGTCCGAATAATGTAAATAATGTACATAATAACTCATCTCAGAAATATAGACATACGATTTAGCCAATTTTAGTTTCTTTTGATTTTTGAAACCTAAACTAATCGGCTAGACCCAGAACATTTAAAAAAAAAAAAAATAATAAATTTAAAATTTCACCGTCCTTTCTACTTTGTACGAATTTACAAAGTATTAGGTTGGTGCAAAAATAATGACGTAATAATGTCGTTTTTGACGTATTTTTTAAGGTCAAAAAACGACATTATTACGTCATTATTTTTGCACCAACCTAATAGAAGGGATGAACACAAATATCACTTTAGTCTGATTAAGTTCTAAAGAACGAAACGTACTCGGAAATAATTTAAAATGCTCGTATAAGGCGAGGTAACACACGGTAAAACGTGTAAATGTCCATTCGTTCAAATAGGTGTAAATGTACATTAATGCCCATGAGACTTTCTTTTTAAAAGCTTATTTACATCTCTTCGTAACCGCAGTCGAAATTGTATGGTGTTTTCAAACACACATAAATATCTATGTGAGTCAATTAAGAGAATGTACGGCTCCTTAATAATTCAAGAATGTGTACAAATATACAATAAAACATGTATAATTGTACTGTAAGAGTAGGCATACATTAAAATCAGTAAGGGAATATGTATTTATTCAAATTTTGCAGGTTTGTTTTATGTTATATATGAATAGTAGGGATAGTACTCGGCGTTGCGCGGGTCAAGTTCCTTTAATTTGCTCTGCTGTGTTATAAAGTCACTTTTCTTGTGGGGCTTACGGCCACATCACGTTGAAACACCTTTTCCCGTACGATCACCGATGTTAAGCAACATCGGGGCTGGTCAGCACCCAGATGGGTGACCGCTTGGGAATACCAGGTGCTGTAAGCTGGGATGCGTGTGTTGTGTGACGGATTTTGACTCGAAATTGCCAATAGGAGAGCTGAGTTCCAATTCCAGTCGGCTTCCTTATATTCACTTATGTGCAAAGGCATGAAACCATATTTCCCTCCCCCAACTATGTGTTAATTAGTAAGACTTGTGTCACTAAACTATTAGTATCTCCTCCAAAAATAAAATTGTGTACAAAAAATGTTTACATTTCGGCATTGAATAACACATAGAGGTTTATATGCCGCTAAACAAAAAGAAAAAAAAAACTTCTTTTGATGTATAGAAGAGATTTGCGCATGACAAACTTGTATTAGAGGAGTTAACGTAATTTAAGCTGGTTTAATAAATAAAAATGAGGCGTCTATTTCAAATAAATTTCCACTATGTTACGTTTGAATTAATAGAATATTTTTATTTGAATAACACAGGAATTTAACTGTCATGGTGCAGAGAGTCAGTGTTGTGTCGGAAACCTACCACCACTCTTGAAGATGAACTTGTCTGCGTCTGTGAACAAAGACTTTAAATAGTGGTATGACATGGGGAAGATAGATAGACAGAGCAGTTCTTAGCTGAGCTAGTTATTGACTACTCAGGCGATTTCTGTACCTATTAAAACCCTTTTTATTGTTACGTGTTATTTGGCGTTTGTCTCTACTAACCCCAAATCAACATCATAACAGTCAGGATCCTGGCCTGTTGATTTACAACATCAGCATAACCGTCAATTAAGTGATGCCTCAAAAAAAGAATCATTTATTTATAAAGATCACAAATGATCACATTGGTTAGAAAACAGTTTTTTTAAAAACTATATATTGGCTATATGACTAATAAGACATACAGGGTACAGTGGGTAAAATGTTGTCATTTTATATTTTTAATTTCGCGCATGCGCGTTGTTTGTCTTTGATTTTGTCGACTGTACGATATAGTAGGGTCAGTTGTGCACTGTCAGTGGGAAAAAGAGCAAGATGATGCAATTCATTCCGCCAGAAATTTGGAAACGGCGTGCTGTACTGATTTGCATTCACGTCGGAAGCTTCAATACGAATATTTCAGAGTGTCTGGCAGTCAATTTGAGGACAGTGTAAAGGATTTGGAAAGACTTGGAGGAGTCTGATGGTGATTACGAAGGTACGGCAGCTCGAAAATCTCACTCTGATAATAAAAGAACTCCCGAATTTGTTGATGATAGTCTCAGATTATACACGGAGCATCAAGTGCCTTAAGGAGGTAGAGCTGACCTGGGTCAAGAGGGTTGCTGCTGGTAGACACTATATTTGGCAACACGTATTTGCACCATTTCACACAAGCAGGAAAACCGAGTGATGGCTGTCAGACAATTTCTGCAACCACATCATCCCTTACATCTGGACATCTAACTCCCCAGACTGCAACCCCCTTGATTACTATGTACGAGGCACATTTGATCGAGAGACCAAAAAAAAAAAAATAACTTATAACACCAAAGATGAATTGAAAGCAAGGATTACGGTAGCATTCACTAACTTAAACAAGAAGACCATCTAGGAGAGTTGCAGGAGATTCCGAAGTCGTCTGAAGGCCGTGGTTGAAGCCAGTGACTATTTTATTTCATATACTTACTCTTTAGTATTAGAAGTTTTCTTTTTTTGTAATTTTGGTAAATATATCTGTTAAAATGAAATATGTTTTATTTTCATTTTTGCGTAATTTAGACGACAATTTATCCATCGCTTCCTGTATGTCATTGAAAATAAATGCTAAATCGTATATAAGCCATGTCACATTTTTATACTGTTTAATATCAATAATAATACATAAAAACAATTACACAATTACGAACATACACATTGCTAGATAGTTAATTTCATATATGTTTAATTCATTTGTCATTGCAAAAAACGTAAACAAAAATTAATGGATAATTAATTTGAATTCCACCAACAACTCTTTCTACTTGCAGAGATCGCTTATAGGACTATAATTTTTCTACTATGTGTCGTGTCACTTTAGGACGTTGGCGATCATGGCTCTCCTCAATTTCCTGTACATTTCAGCTCTTAATAAATTTTGCTTTTTGTTATCAATCTAATAAATAAATAGTGTTTATTATTTCTCAAGAAAAAATTCATTTCATATGTTTAGGTTTTGTTACCATTCTAATCATTCATCATACTTATTATAAAACCCAGGTTGTGTGTGTGTGTGTGTGTGTGTGTGTGTGTGTCTGTTCGTTTATATACTGGATCGGATTTCCTACATTTTTCAATCGATTTCAACAAAACTTCACAGGACTACGTAAAATTACCTTGTGGTGGTTCTGACAGAGCCAAAAATTGGAAAAACACAATTGTTTTTGCACGAAATCAATTTGAAAACACGATTAAGAGGCATCGCTGTTTCGAGTTATACTTATTATAAAACCCAGATTGTTTGTGTGTATGTGTTCGTTTATATATGGGATCGGATTTTTTATATTTTTCACTTTTTTTGGAAGGTAGTGTTTCTTATTGTCTTGCACACTTTTTTCTTTATTTTTACATTCAGAATGCTTTAAAAATTCCATTTACAAGACAATTGTTTATAATAAAATTCTATTCAATCGGTAGACTCATAACGATTGAAAACAATGTTTTTGTTTCTAGTTAGAAATACTACCAAGGAATGAAGGTAATCAAAATAATAGCGGTGAATGGGGAAACCGTCCTTTTGACATTACCTTTTTCTTCGGGCACAAAGGTCAATGTTTGCCAAAACTTGTTTAAACACACACGCATGTACGCGCTCGAGCACGTGTTTGTGTAGCTCGACTATTTATATATGCCCATCATTGAGTAGAAATGCCGAGTATTTTTGGTTTATTTTTGCGCCTATTGTTTGTTGTAAAAATATACATAAGAGCAACAGTAGAACCATGGAAACAGACAAACCCCGGACGCAAGCATCTTTAAACACCAGGAAATATGTGAATAGCACAACACTTTCCAAATATATTTGGAACCTCAAAAAAAAAAAAAAAAAACACGCAACAAAAAGTTTTAAGGAAAACAACACCAATCTATAACGTTTTCTTGTTTTTATTGCTTGTAAAAATATGCATAAGAGCAAGAGTAGGACCATGTAAACACACAGACCCCGGACGCAAAGCATCTTTTAAACACCAGATGAATAGCACAACACTTTCCAAATATATTTGGAACCTCAAAAAAATAAAAAGTAAAAAAAAAAAAAAAACACGCAACAAAAATTATTAAAGAAAACAACACCAATATATAACGTTTTCTTGTTCTTACATATTTTCCGTATACCGTGCTCCTTTAGAACGAGGGCGATTATGACTCTCCTCATCTTTCTATCACTTGTAGTACTTAGTAACATTTGTCTTTTTGCAATCTTCCCACCCACCTTTTGCCAGTCAAATATGTTCATCAAGTACTCGTCCCGATGCTTCCACTTGCCTCTTTTACATCCAGTATGTCTTATGATGTCGAATTATCCAAGCCCTCCTTTTTCCGTATGCATCCTAGAAATTTCAGTTGTGTCTTTCTGATTCTGAGTAGAAGTGTATTATTGCTTCCATTTTCCCTAAAACATCTTAATCGTATACACGTTACTGTCATGATATTCTCATTATTTTTCATTATTGACATGATGCGTGTATATGTACAAATGAGTTTACTAATTCCTCGTAGTAAGACAGTATATGTATGGAGGGGGAATATACGCGCGCATATATACACGCATGCTGACAGAAACGCACCAAAATGGAAACAGATCCAAGAGCACATAGGGGCCAGTAAAACATTAAAAGATAAAATGCCGATAACTAATTTATCATCTCGCTGGACCAACCCTAATTGTTTTATGACCCTTCGCGCAGAACTCTTCATTGCCATTTCAAGAAAGAAATTCAGATTACCAACACACAAACAAAAAATGTCTCATATCGAGAATATTTAACATTGAACATGAGGAAAAATTAATTATTTTTAATAATATGTGGAAATCTCCACGTTTACCTGAAGACGGTCGCGAGACCAGAAACACGTGTCGTAAAATTATGTAAAACAAATCATAATATTTTTTCTAAATAAATTGACATTACAACCAAAAACGTTTGCGGCACCTCTCTTCTCTTTAATATACATACTTTTCTCTCGTTGGAACCACTACAACCTCATTCTTTTATATATATATAACGTCTAGCAACACTGTTGAAACACTCTGTCTGTGGATGACAATATATATATATATATATATATATATATATATATATATATATATATATATATATATATATAAAAAAAAAAATAAATAATTAATATATTTTTTCCCTCGTTCATCAGGTCTTATGGTGTGACCTGATGAACCAGGAACCTTATAATCATGGAACCTCAAGGTTCTCTTTCTTAATTATTATTTGCTCTGGTGTTACATTGTGCTCCCTGGATCACATCTTTCTATGGAATTATCCATACGTATTACTAAACCCTTCATAACAATACTATATATATATATACACATATATGTGTGTGTGTGTGTGTATGCAGAGAGGGAGGCCGATATAATGACATTATTTCAAAATTGTGATCGTCCGTGATTCGAACCCGCTGCCTCACCCAAAGCGAGAATCATACTCTATCATAAATATGCACAGAAAACAGTCGACATAACTCGTGATGTATGAAGCGAGCTCGTTTCTAACTGCTCAGGCTAAAAAATATCTGCGATTATATGATTGCTTTTTTTCCATTATTTATTTATATCTTTATTCATCTTTCATTTTGGCGTTCCATTTTCCTAAATTCCTCTCCGTCCATCAAATAGAATCCAATGTTAGGAGACGTTTGCATTCTGCATAAGTGATGTGCCTTTTTAAGCAGACTTTGGGGCGAAAGTCATAAGCGTCTGAATCATTTTTTTTTCCTTTTGAATCTTTTGATGTAATTTAAAAGCCGATGGATCCGATGGGAATCTTGGAGCCGACCAGATTCCGTATTGTCGATTCTA